GTGGGTGATAACTCGAGGAAATGTTCAAGCTTGAACCCAGAATAGAAAAAAGTTCCGTCCAGAAGGTTCCTGTAAATCGGCCATCCCTGTCGCTAACGATGCTCGTCGGAACTCCCCATAGCTTTACTATATGTTTAAAGAACAACTGCGCCGTCAGCTCGGCGGAACACGTCTTGGGAGTCGGAATGAAAGTTGCATGTTTGGAAAATCGATCGATAACGACAAGAATGGCTTCATGTTCTCCTACCTTGGGCAAGTGAGAGATGAAGTCGAGCGACACACTCTCCCATGGTCTCGTAGGAGTTGGTAGGGGTTCAAGCAACCCTGCTATTTTAGTCCTTTCTACCTTATATTGCTGACAGATAAGACAGGTCTTCGTGTATTGCATCACATCTTCCCACATACTTGGCCAAAAGTACCCCTTTTTCAGCAAGGCGTAAGTCCGTTGCCACCCCGGGTGACCCGCCCATAGAGTATCGTGACACTCATGTAGGAGCTTCTTTCTCAGKTCTCCCGTTCTTGGCACGTACAGTYTGTTTCCTCTTGTAAATAATAGGTCCCCTTCGACCCAGAACTGGCGGGTCTTCYCGGTCTTGGCCAGCTCGACCACAGTTCGGGCGGAGGGGTMTYTTTGAAGATATTCTCYAATGAGGTCACGGATCGACCCGTCCGCTTTGCTGGTGTGAATGTGGGCTAACATGCACAGGGYCGCATGTTCTCCTTTACGGCTAAGAGCGTCGGCAGCTTGGTTGGACTTTCCTGCCTTGTGTTCAAACTTAAAATCAAACTCGGCTAACAATTCCTGCCACCTGGCCTGTTTGGATGTTAGCTTAGGCTGATTGAAGAAGTGGCAAATTGCACTGTTGTCCGTCTTTACCACAAAAKATGAGCCCAACAAGTACTGCCTCCAAGACCTAAGGCAGTGAACGACTGCTAGCATTTCTTTCTCTGATACGGTATAACGTCGTTCCGCATTATTCAGCTTGCGACTTTCGTAASCAATCGGGTGATCGTCTTGGAGAAGGACACCACCTAAAGCGTAGTCTGAAGCATCCGTTTCTACTTCAAACGGCTTCGTCACGTCGGCTAGCCCAAGTACTGGGCCTTTCATCATGGCCGCCTTTAGATCTTCGAAGGCGTCCTGACTTTCCTTCGACCACATCCAGGTCATTCCTTTCTTCAGTAACTCTGTCATTGGGGTGGCTCTCCTTGAGAATCCTTCGATAAATCGTCGGTAGTAGTTGGCCAACCCTAAAAAGGAGCGCAACTCGATCACAGAGGTAGGGACTCTCCATTCTTGGATCGCCTTTACCTTATCTGTGTCCATACTGATYTGCCCCTGTTCGATCACGTGGCCAAGGAACRTGATCCGCTTTTGTGCGAACGCACACTTTTCCTTCTTTACGTATAACTGATTCTGCCTTAGTTTGTCGAAGACCAACCTGAGATGGATCTGGTGTTCTTTCAGCGTCGGACTGTATACCACTATATCGTCTAGATAGACTACCACAAACTGATCGAGATATTCGTGAAAKACCTGATTCATCATAGTACAGAACGTGGCAGGGGCATTCGTTAATCCAAAARGCATCACGAGGAATTCAAAAGCCCCATACCTCGTCACACAAGTAGTTTTAGGCTCGTCACCTTCTGCAATACGCACTTGGTAGTAGCCCGACCTGAGATCCAATTTCGTGAAGTATTTAGCTCCATGTAATTGATCAAACAGGTCGGTTATGATAGGGAGGGGATACTTGTTGCGAACTGTGACTTTGTTGAGGGCTCTATAGTCAATGCACAGACGCAACGTCCCATCCTTCTTTTTCTGAAACAGCACAGGGGCTCCGAAGGGAGCTTTAGCTGGACGGATGAACCCAGCGTTTAACAACTCATCTAGCTGCTTTCGGAGTTCGGCTAACTCCGGTGGAGCCATCCGGTAAGCATTCTTTGCCGGAGGTTTAGCTCCTGGAATGAGCTCGATTTCGTGGTCAATCCCTCGTCGAGGAGGTAAGGTCTTCGGTAAACTATCTGGCATTATGTCAACATACTCTTTCATGACAACTTGAATTTCAGGTGGGACATCTCTTGTCTCCACCGGCTGTTCGACCATCGGAATGGCCATAAAGGTAGGTTCCTCCCGGTTGAGGCCTTTCTTCAACTGTAACGCGGATATCATCCTTATGCCACCAGGTTGTTTGATGCTAGTTGTGACCACAGTGGGACTATTACTAGTGACAATCATACACTTGGCCAGAGGCATCGGTATGACTTTATGTTCGATGAGGAACTCCATCCCCAGTACAACGTCGAAGTCGTCCATGCGAACTACTACGAAATCGACACTGCCTGTCCACGTCCCCAATTTCAACATCACTCTTTTAGAAACTCCTACAATRGGTAGAGCTTCGAAGTTGACGACCTTCATYTTACCCGTATCCTTCTCAATAGTCAATTTCAGTCGGCGGGCTTCCTGTTCTGATATGAAGTTGTGGGTTGCACCTGAATCCACCATGGTGCTCTTTGCAGRGTTACAATTGATCGTAGCATCTACGAACATAAGCCCCTTTTCGGACGTTCCTTTGGGTCCATTGACCCTCTTTTGAATGGCAGATAGGAATTTTAACGCCCTCATTCTAGGTGTTTCTTCGTCTTCTTCCTTCTCACAATCCGTTTCGACTTCAGGTTCATTGCACGACTGAACGGATGCTTGAAGGGCAGTAAGGGCAGCTCGGTGTGGGCATTCAGCTACCCGGTGGGGACCTTTGCACAAGAAGTATGACATCAGCCTTTGAGCGTTTTGACTTTGTGGATAGGGTCCTCGGGAAGGACCGGGATTCGGGCCTTGAGGTCTCTTGTCAGCTCCCCCACTCTTTGGGGTAAAGGGTTTGAACGTCTTGTTTCCCCCAGTGGGGTTTGTAGCATTCTTTTTCGGGTGGGATGGTTCACTGTTATAGTCTAGCAATCTTTCGGCAGCGGCCATGGCGGTGGCAAGGTCTTGTACCCTTTGTTCATACAGCTTGGTTCTGGCCCACAGTTTCAATCCTTSGATAAAGACGAACACCTTGTCTTTCTCTGACATGTCGCGAATATCCATCATCACGGCAGAGAATTGTTTCACGTAGTCCCGGATTGTTCCAGTGTGTCGGAGTTCACGTAGCTTCCTTCTAGCCATGAACTCGACATTGTCGGGGAAGAACTGACCCCTCAATTCTTTCTTCAGATCATCCCAGCTATTGATCGTGCATCGACCATTCTGAATGTCGTTGACTTTAGATCTCCACCACAGCTTTGCATCATCAGTAAGATGCATGGTGGCCAAAGTCACTTTCATCTCTTCTGACGTTGTCCCCGTAGCCTTGAAGTACTGTTCTACGTCGAACAGGAAGTTCTCGAGATCTTTTGCGTCTCTATTGCCATTAAATGGTTTGGGCTCTGGGACCTTCAACTTGTTGAACCCCATGTTCGCTTGGTTGGGAGCCTGATTTCCCACAGCTCGCATGGTTAGGTTCACTCTAGTGCTTATTTCAGTCATCTCAGCTCGGAGGGTGTCGATGGTTACTTTGAAGTCTTCTGTCATTTCGTTAAACAATTGCATCATTGCGGAATGCGAGTTATTTAACTCACCCATACGTACTTCTATCTGTGTGTTTGGGTTCGTGGAACTATCTCCACGTTCGAAGCTACCAGGACGCGTAGCTTTGCTTTCTAGGGTCTCAACCCTCATGGCTATATCTTGTATCGGCAACCCGTCTATACGGGCATTCACTGCGTCTATTTCTCCAAACTTCTCGGAGAATTCATCAACTCGCGCCTCCAGCAGACGGAGGAAATCTGGGACTTCTCTTAGGTAGAGAAGTTGTTCTTCTATCTCTACCAGTCGGTCGACGTGCGACTTGCTCAGTTGTTTTGTCGTCGACATGGTTCCGGACTTTTTCGGGTCGAGGAGCTAACTAAGCTCTGATACCACTTGTCACAATCGCACCTTTTGGAAGCAGCTCGAGCGATTGTGCGGCACTTGCTCTAGCTCAAACGAGCAAGTCAGCCAGGAAAAACTGTAAGTTGCGGACAATCTCGGTCGTGGGTCTAGCCTCCGCTCACGTTTTAGGAGAAAATTGGTTTTAGAAAACGTGAGAGAGAAAAACAGTTGAAAACATCTTTAAAACAAGCATTGTAGACATTGGATGCAAGAAAGTATACAACACTTGGTCGGGGGGAGGTTTGATGACTACTTGGTCCCCCCTAAGGTACATTATAAGGCATTTTTGGTGTGGCAGGTG